GATCCTCGGGGAGAGATCAAATGCTCTCATACCCTTATATGGCGAAAGCTCAACCACCGAGTCCGGGAGGACCTAATAGAGGGCGACAGTACTTTGCGAGAGCAGAGCACTTGTGTCAATTTGGGAGGGTGTAATGCCGTTTTCTAAATCAGTTCCTGCATTATCATGCCGTGTATCGCTCCCGACTTCCTCTGGGGCTTGATCATCTCTACCCCCCTGACCATCTTTACCAGCATCCGCTACCGCGTCTTCCTCAGCCAACAATCCCGACTGGAAGGCGTAATCGACAACCGCACGCTCACCTATGAAGACGTGAGCTCTCTGCGGACTTGTGTATGTCCACTCTGTCTGCAGTCCTCTCGGCCGCTTGGACGTCCACCCCACCGCCTTGAGCTGTCGCCATAAGAGCCCAAAGTCAACGTCGTGTGCGGCGACAGCTAGGGCGGCAGGTTTCTCGCGGCGACTGGAGCGCTTCCGTGTCATCCAGCAAAATCTCGAATGAGCGGTCAAGGATTCACCTTCCACCTGATCCCCATCCCCTGACCTGGTTTTGTTTTCGTTCCTGAAAAACCTCTTGCAGCTTATATGTTGCATCATACTTGATTAAAGTATTGAAAAATCATTTCCGAGCCATTTGCTAATAAACTTTGCGCTATGTCGTAAGTTACGACACAAAAAAAAATGGATGTCGTTAGTTACGACGTCCGGAACCAAGGTGTTAACTATACGAGCAGCAAGACGAATTCGAGTTTGGGTCGCAGAACGTCCAGATTGTGCGAACGTTCATCTGTCAGTATAAACACTACGACGAGTTCGCACCCCAGGGGGAGAACACGCTGTTTCAAGCACTCATTAAGGCGCTCAAGAACGCAAAGAACTTTATCTACATTGAAGATCAGTATTTCATCCTCGTACCAGAGCTACTCGATGCGGTTTTAAAAGTGATGCCGACACTCCAGCGACTCATTGTGGTTGTGCAGCGACCAGGTTGGATGTGAAGTCGGGTGGATACGAGAAGTATTTGTTCGACATGATCGCTCCTATACAGAAGCTGTATCCAAACAAGTTTCAGATCTACACCACGAAGAGTAGCTTGAATCTCTACATCCACACAAAACTCGTGATCATCGACGACGTTTTTGTGACAGTCAGCTCAGCAAACTGGAATCGTCGTAGCATGACCTCGGACTCGGAGATGGCTGCCAACATCATCGACGAGGACTCTGTAGATTCTCCAGATGGGGTCACGGTGCTGAGGACGGCACGCGACTTTCGGATCCGCAAATTTCACGAGATGACGGGTCTAAGCTACGATGAACTAGACGCAATGACGATAATTGAAGCCGCGAATCAACTTGATACGGCCGCTGCAGACAAATCGTCCATCATTGAAGCGTTTCTACAGTAGTAGAGGAGCAAGCTTATTTCGCTACTTTTACAGATGCATTTCGGCAGCAAGTAGACCCACAGGACACATGCACGTAGCGTAATCACGATTTCAATGAAATACACCACCAGGTCAAGCAA